AGAAAAGTCAGTGGTAGGGAGGATTTTGTGTGATGTGCTGAGACCTCTGGAATAGGGATGGTCACTCACCTGTCCTAGCATGAGGGAACAGAAGAAATAGCAAGAGTAGGAGTGGTGCCGTTTTCCCAGGAAGGTGGCCCAGGTCATAGCAGACCAAACCCTGCAGCGGGATGAAAGAAATGCACGCACCGTGATCTGACTGATGTCTTAGACTTGTGCTTCTCTGGTTTTGATGTGTGTCATCATCTTGCAGATGTTTAGGAAGGTTTTTTGGATTGGTTTAGGTGAGAATGACAGTGTCACCACTAACAACTCATCTAGAGACTAGAACCTGCTCTGCGTTCTGCACCTAAGAGAGGGGCGTAACAGACACTTAGACTATGTCCAGTAATCCGTGGTCTGTGTAAATATCCAAAGAGTAGAGGTCTGTACGTAGAGGAGTCACCTGCACTCCCATGTTTATTGCTGCATTATTCACAGCAGCCAAGTGTGAACTGGGTCTATCAATGGACGAATGAATAAAGGAAATTTGATATATATGTTTAAGTATATTTTGTATATATATTTATTTATATATATTTCAGCCCAAACCTCCAAATAGGCAATGAGATCGTGTAATTTGCAACAGCATTGGTGAACCTAAAGTACATTGTGCTGAGCAAAATAAACCAGGTACAGAAGGACAAATATGTGCAGTTACTTTTGTGGGGAATTGAAAACAATTGTAGTTGCAGGGGTAGAGTATAACAGTGGCTATCAGAGGTAGGGATTTAGGAGAATTAGGAGATGTTGGTCAAAGGGTACAAAATTTATCTAGACAGGAGAAATAAATTTTTTGAAATCAATGGTGGCCACAGTTCATAATGTATATTTCAGAATTGCTAAGAGCATATTTCAAATGTTCTAACAATAAAAAATGATAGCTAAGCTGTTGGATATGTTAGTTTTATTTAATCATTCCAAACTGTGTGTGTGTGTATATATATATATATATATATATATATATATATATATAAATAAATGTCAGTTATTTATATAATAACATCTCTTAGTCCACCATAAATATATTCAATAAAAGAACTTTTAAAATAATTTACATGTGTGATTTGATAGAATAATTAATTCTCATGTAAAAAGTACTAGTTACATAAATCCTAGCATAGGAAAAATAGCACAAGGAGAAAGCAGTGGGAATTAACTTACTAACTTCTTATTCTGCTTCAGAGACTAAACCAGCTACTCTAGATGTGTTATGTTATATAAAAGTCCAGTATGGGAGCTGTCTATTACTGAGTACACTTGAAGATAGAAAGAGGCTGAAAAACCTTAAATATTATGTTAAGGAGAGTAGCGTATGTCAAAATGCAAACTTGCTGTACCTCCCCTTGTAGCTAGTTAAAATCACAAATAGGTAGATCTCAACTCATTGTCCTAGCACAGTAGCCTGGTGAGGTCAGGGTACCATTCTGATACATCTTCCACTGACTTTCATTAATTGTTACTAAGAGGCAATTCTGAGACTCCTACATTCCCTTGGACATCAGGATCAGTCATCTACCTATTGAAGTGGCCCACCTCATCTGGTGACAGCAGATTCATTTTTCAGGAATTAAGACCAACAGACCAGTGAAGCCTGAGACCCTGGAGATGGAGACAAAACTGCTTGAGGGTGGTCACCATGAGTTGTGCACAAGATGGGCAAGGACATGCCTTTGGGAATTCCATGATGTCAGAGGGAGATTTTCCTCCATGTCACAAATGAGTGCAGTTCTGTGTATATTTGGGACAGAGAAGCACTACCTTAGAGCTAAATTCTGCCACACAGTGTTGGGTATTCGTGACATGAGGGCTGGTAGGAGTGTTCAGCACAGCTAGCCCAGCACTCAGGGAGACATTGATTTAACACACTTTGTGTCCTCTAAGCTAATATTAGGAACCGAGCCACTCCCCTCTTCACAAATTAATAAAACCCAGGTTCAGCCCTGGGTAACATTAGAAACCATGGATGTAACAGTAAACACAATGACCTAAATAGTGCAGGCGTTCCTCCCTTTTGCCACTGTGCAACCTCCCTGACTGGAGTGCAATTCTTCAGAGGCTGGCACTGTAGTATTGACAGGCTTTACAATTCTCCACAGGCTGATTAGACGTATGTTTCCTGCCATTTCATCTGCCATTTCTCAGAAGATGAAAATAAGTCTGCCTTGTTATCTTCTTAGCTCTCTGCTGCCCTCTCCCACGTGCAAAGGCCCTCTTTCAAGTCATTTAGCAACTTTACACCTGGAAACTGAATGACTAAGGTCATTTCCAAGTCTCATTTACTTCTGGAGTATCATGTGGGAATATTGATAGAACCATAACCAGGAATAAAGAGAAGGTATTTTATTTGCATAAATTTTCCACATAGGCCCTCTGGACCAATCTCGAGGATAGACAGGGGTTAATTTCCACAGTCTTTAACAGTGTCAGTTTCATTGGGTTCCTGTTATGTTCAGTATAGATCCCTAAGGCCTGGCTCTTAGGAAGCACTTGTAGAGAGCCTGCTTCAGGCTTGTCTCAGTCTGAAGGAGTTTTTATTTGTGATCCCAGGGTAAAGTTATTGTAGTTCTAATAAGTAAATTCCAATCTACCACTTCCAGCGCAGCCCTCGCATGAATGAAGTGGTAAACACTTATCTGCACTGCAGAAGCCAGTCAGGACTAACTCCAGTCAGAACTATGGAAAACCTGAGCAAAGGCCACAACTCAGGGCTGAACCTGGGTTTTGTTACTTTGTGAAGAGGCGAGTGCCTCTGGTTGAGTGACTGTAAGAATGGCAGGAAGTATGTGATTACTGTGTGCTGGGCTAGGCGGGAGGTACAACAGCACCTCCACAACATGCAGAGAGAGGTTTTCAGAAAGACCACTGGATTCTGGTAACAGGTAGCCTCTGAGTTTGGAGGAATCTGCATAACACATTTTCAGGAGTGTCTTGTGTTTCTGGTCAGTTGCCTCAGCCTTGCTGTCTGGCCTTCCTGCCCTGGGGCAGGGACTCTTTCTTGAGCCTCAGTTCCAGTGTACAGCTCAGTATTTTTCAGCCTATCTCACACTAAGTAGTAGGGAGCTACAGGTGGGCATCAATGACCTGTCCATTGCTTCAAAGGCTGCACATCAGCACCTCCCCTAGACCCATTTGCATTGCTTAAAAGCAACTGAGATGGTAGAATATCATCCTAGCCAGCTGTGTAAAAATCAATATATGAAATTAGGGCAAAGTTTAGCCAACGTGGAGACAAATGGTCTTCTTTCAAGGAAAGCATTCCTGGTTGTCCAAACAACAGTAGGGGAGTATTTGTTTGCTGATTGATGGAAACCGGTGTGTTTTCCTGTCCTTCTGCAAAGAGGAGCCCTTTTAAGTTAAGAGATTGGGATAGCCCATGTGTCCCCAGGAAGTTGTATCTTTGAGGTCAGCAATGATTAACAGGGATAGGTTGAAAGGGGCTCAGATTGCTCAGTGACAAGGGCCCTTGAGCTTATAGGAGGACACTGAGGTGTGGGGCTACCTGCCCAAGTAAGAGGTGGGGTCACAGTTTCTGATCTCAACAGCCTTGGCCTCCATGGGCCTTACAGGGAACTATTAAAGGCAACTGAGTTAGATAGAAATATTATAAGCAGTCAGACAGGGCCAGGCCCTGGAAAGAGCCAACATGAAAGACAAGGTAAGATACCTGTGGGCCAGACCTCAAGACAGCAGGACTAAACAAATGCATCCACATACTTCCCTAGGTGCGAACATCAGGGATTGATATTCTAAATAAGTAACAAGCACCCTCAAAAAGCAAGAAAGAGTCACTAGCCCAACCCCTACAGGAAAAACCCCTGTTCTGTATTCATGCCCACTTGCTATGTGACTCACTTCCCCATTTGACCCCAGTTTACTCAATTTGACCTGAAGAATTATACTTGTAATCTTATTGGCTGACCATAGTTTTGTCCCACTTCATGCCCACCTTGTAATTCCCATTTCCCCCCTATCTTGGACCTGCCTCACCTCAGGGTTTTGGTCTATAAAGTCCCTGGAAAGGGCAAGGTCCTTTGCAACCCACTCGGGCCCCCTTCTGTCCCTCTCTTGGACAGAAGCTTTATTTCCCTCAATAAATGTATTCTGCTCTTAATCTCCATTGTTTTTAAAATTCATTCTTCGAATTTAGAGAACCCAAACTCGTCCTAGATATCATTCAGGTTGGGAGTTTTATTTTCCTGTATCAGAACCACATGTGGTTCTGGATGTGCTAGGTGCGGGGATTTGAGAAAGAAACTATATAAAATAATTGTGGCCCAGTGAGGACAGGAGTTGTTAGACTGTGACAGCTCTGAGGAGAGATAAAATAGAATGGGCAGCCTGGTGGCTATAAGTCAAGGTAAGCCTTGGTATTAGCAGAGAAAGGGGAAGGAGACAAATTTCGAATGAGAGTAAAGAATCATGCACATACACTCCCCAACCCCACCTTTATCCCCAAGCCTGTAAGAGAGAAAAGAACCTTCTCCTACACAGGATAATGTGTTTGAATGGTGACCTCAGTGGTGCTTGACAGGCCTCCAGGACCTATGAAATTCCCCCCTTCCACTCTGCCAGGTGACATATAAGGAGGTCACATGTTTACCCTGAGCCCCAGGATGAGAGTTCTGCACATTTTCTCCCAAAGGTGCTTAGCTTCAGCCCACATGATGCGGAGGCTGTGGAGAAACTAAAGCAGGTCAGAAGGAGCTGGTTAACAGCTCTGAGTGAGGATTTGGAAAGGTATTGAGTGGCACAAGATGGGAGGAGGCGGAAATTAGCAGAATTGTGTCACTGGTCTGCTTAGCCCAGATTTGGTCTCCGTGAAGTGAACAAACAAGACACAAGCCTTTTTACTAAGATGAGACATTTATTTAGTTACTGGCATCTGATGTAGTGCAGTTCTGGACTCAGCTCCAGGAAAGATGGTTGCTCAGAGAGGGCCCTTAGTTTTCTCTGCGCAGTCAGCAGTGTTTCATGGTTTCCTTTATCCAGCCTAGAAAATGTGAGACTTTGGTGCAGACACGTGGAGTTATCTCACCCTCTGGTCCATAGGAGGCAATGCCCTGGGCCACATCATTACACACGAGGGGACCTCCAGAGTCACCCTGTAGAAAGATTGAGACTGTGAGGCAGTGCACCTCCTGGACTTGTCCCCTCTGATATGCCCAACCTCTCCTGAAGCATTACTGGCACAGTCTGCTTGTGAGAGACGATAGGGAAGGACAGGCCCTGGGTTCCTGAGCTGCCATGGTCTGACTATGGTCACTGTTATTGCTGTTCCTCACTGGGGCAGCCTTTGTCTTTGCCCCCAGGACCTGAGACCTTATCCCTGTGGAGCTGTGTGGGACCACTGGTTTCAGGCTGCTGTTTAAGGACAGGGAGGCGGATGAGTGGGCCACACACAGAGCAGGGAGGAAGAGCTGATTGGCTAATAAAGTCAGTTGGCTCTAAGGAGCCAATTGGCTATAATTACTGCACACCCAGGGAACAGTTCTCTAATGCCTCTGATGTGAGCTCAAGGCATCATGTTGCAAACTCATGCTTCCAGAGGGGCACTGTTCTCTAGTGACCCCTTGGTAAAGTGGTAGAGCCCTTAGTTACCTCCAAGGTCATGCAGCTCCCTTTTTCTCCTTACAGGGAGATTTAACACAGCCTACTAGGTGAATGAGCCCCTGCTGCTTGGGTCTCCCAGTCCAAGATCTGTCCAAACACCTTTTCCCCCAAATCCAAGAATGACAGATGCCTATTGTTACCTCTAAGAAAGCTTTTTTGATCCTTGGGTCCCCCACACACATCTCCGTAGCACTGTCATAATCCTCTTGAAAGTGTGTCTCACACACCTCATCCTTCTGCACTGTCATCTCCACCTCCTGCAGTGTGTTTGGAGAGCTCCCATTTGGGGCCAAAAGTCCCCATCCAGCCACCTGGCAGGTGGCACCTGGCTTCACCTGGGTCTTGTCCTTAGGCAGCCTGAGAAGCTGCACCACTTTAGTCGGGTTGGCCTTTTTCTCCAGCTGAAGGCAAAGAAATGAGAGAGTCCAGATCAGCCTATGCCTTCTGGGCCTGGACTCTGTGATGGACTTGGTGGCAAAAAGGGAAAGAGCAAAATCCCAGTAGGAGAGACAACCCTGTATGAGGAGAGCAACAGCAGCAGGAGCTGTGCCTCACCTGCAGCAGCATGATATCACTGGTGACTTTTTCAGGATTGTAGTCTGGGTGTGGGATGGCTCTTTTTACACGTGTGACCTGCCGAGTCTTCTCCTGTTTCTCGATGTTGTGGCCCCCCAGTAAGACAATAATGTCTTTATATGGTCTGCACAGAGAGGAGAGTAGGCTGAGGGATGTGGAGACACAGAGGACACATCCCAGCTGGTACAGGGTGGGGCTGAAGATGACAGAAGGGCCATGTTGCTGTGTGACTGCACCATCTGCTTGTTAGTAACTGAGGCTGAAATCTTGGACCTTGGGTACCAGATGTTCTCAGCGGTCAGTTACCTCTATGAAAACACATGAAATTGCTTTACTTTGCATTTTTATGGCAGAGCATAGTTCTGGATTTAAATATATCAAACTCGATTGCCCTGGTCTTTCTTATGTGAACAATTCCCTTTGTACCAATTTGCTTGTCTCCTTTTGGAATATGGCTGGCCCTTTCTCACCCTCAGAGTCTCCTGCTTATGTTTCTCCAGGAGCTACAGGAGCTCCCTGGGAGGATGGGTCTCTGAGAAGCATTTCCTGAGGCTGTGGGCTGTTTTCTGTTCCTTACCTCTCTGCACAGTGAGCAGCTGTCAGCACAAATTTCTCATGTATCAGGAAGCCACCACACATTCTTACAGAATCGTTGTCCCTGATCTGAAGGTAGGCCATATAGGGACGGGAGTGGGGTTTGGCTTCATGTCCCCCGATGATCTCCCCTGAAAAAAGAGATTGTTTGTGCAGATGGTTTGTCTGATCCCGTTCCTAGACCTAACACGTGGGTGCCTCAGAACTTTGCATTGGCTGAATGTGGGAGGAGCTCCACGTGGTCAGTGGATGAATGTTGGTAGCGCAGTGTTCAAAGGATTTTGGAAAGCAGAGAAATTAGCGTCTTCCTCTTTGGCTCTTACTGGAAAACAGGGCAGCCAGTAAAGGCTTGGGGAGGAGGGTAGAGTTGGAAAAAGGGACAAGACTGAGGAAATGCTCAAATAGTGTTCTGAGGACAGTGATTCCATGGATTCTGGGGTCACTGAGCTCTGGGCATCTCTGATAAACAGCTGATGAGAGCAACATCTTTCTCTTCCTAGACAGGGAAGACAAGACTATTCTGCCCTCTCCAAGAGAATTTGATATTTTCTCCTTGTTACTTACATTTGCATGAACTCTGAGGAAAGACCCGATCTCCAGATGACAAAGGAGGGGCCTAGAGAGGGGACAGTACCCACTGGCTGTTTTTGAGTACAGTCTCTGGTAGCTTATCCAGTGTCCTACTTGGGGTTCTCTGGTGGGACTGGAGATGAGGTTCACAGCAATACTGTCAACAAATTGATCAGGGACATGTAGCAGGACAGGGGACCCATGTCCTCTGTGGAATGTCTTTGGGCTTCTAGGGAATGGAGATAGTCACTTAACCTGCCCTTGTCCTTGGGGGCAGAAAGAAGGCCAACAGGAGCAGGAGCAGCTGCATCTTCCCAAGAAGCTTCCCAGGTCCGAGCTTCTGAATCTTTGTGCTTGCTGTCTTTAACCTGCAGCACAGGAAGGGGGAAGAGTCATCTCAGTGATCTAATGCTTCCCACTGATTTTATGATGCTTCATCATGGGAGCCTTTCTAAGAAAACACCATACTCCTAACGCCTTCCCCTGATGACATCTTCTACGTGCTTGTGTAGAATGTACAGTGACCACAACTGATGATTTAGAGCAAACCACTTCCTCTGGCCCATAGGATGGACCCAACCATGCAAGGTGGGGACTGTAGGATGTGGTATTGTCCAGAACAAGCTCAGAAACCTGGGTTTCCAGTGGCAGAATTATCAATGCCATGCTTTGAAGTCCATCAGGACAGTTTCTGCAGCACATAAGCATTAAGCCCCTCTCTTGTGCTAAGAGCAAGCATGTTACCAAGACAGCTGACTATCTGGTGAAGCAGGCAGAATTCCATTAACCCAATTTCAGAAAGGCCATGGTAGTTTGATGTACTAAGCAATAACAAAGCATGGCCACCATGTACCAAACCCACCTGGTGACTCTCTCATGATATCATCATTGTCTCCTTCCAAGGAAACCTAAAACATCTCTTCTTTAATTATGAACATTCAGTATGATCAAGTCCACCTATCTTCTCAATATTTTAGACAAAACTTCTGTGTTTGACACTTATTGGTCTAAATTTGCAGAATGCTATGGGCCCTAGGAGTTCAATTCAGGAACTGACATTGGTTACTCTATGCCTTTAGGTAGGCTGTTGTGGATCCCAGTAGAACCACTTGAACTGAGGATGAAGGTATTTTGGCGTGTATATCTGAGCACTGATCCCTTGTCCTTTGGACTGTTCTGTGCTCTGCTTCCTGGGCTATACCAATTGAATTGCTTTAGTACCTCAAGACCTCTGCCTTAGTGTTTCTGCCTTGGAGCCAGCCAGGGACTGAATCCTCTGCAACCATGTTGTCTGATGGACAACTGTATCTCTAAATAGCTGGATTCTGGAGATTTAAGAATCCTCTTTATGTGTCTATATTTTACCTTTTTTCTATAAGAACTATTATGCTTGAGAAGATAAAATTCCAGTGTAAGTATCATCCCTGTCAATAGAGGAATTATCAATGTTTTTGAAATCTCTGTTTATTTTTAATTTCACTTTTCCAAAAATACATAATTTTAAAATACAATTATCTTTCTGATTGTAGATGTGACATATACTCATTAAGAAAATTCAGAGAGTAGAAGAGAAATATAGCATTTGTCTATCCCCATAGAGAAAAAAAAATATTAGTACATGTTTGCACTACATAATGACTACATTTATGGGTGGGAGTTGATATCTGACACATTCTATTTATTTTGAGACCTCTCCCTGTCCCCTCTCTTTTCCCTCCCTCCGTCTTTTCATATTCTTCCTATTTGAGAATGATCTTTCTCTCTGTTTCCTACTATATCTCTTTTATTTTCCTCTTTATTTATACTTTAGGTTTCTTATATAGGAGAAACAGTGTGATATTTAAACTTGTGTGAATAATTTATTTCACTTAAGATTATGGTCTCAAAGAGCATCCATTTTTCTAGAAATGACTCATGTTAATCCTTCTTTATGGAAGAATAGTACTTCATTGTGTACAAATACCACATTTTCTTCATCCATCTATTGATGGACATATAGATTTCTTCCTAGATGTAGCTGCTATGAATTGTGCTGCTGTAAACATGTGTATGTGTGTATCACTGTAATACCATGTCTTTATCTTTTTAAGGAAGATACCTAGAAATGAAAGAGTGGGGTTGAAGGGAATTTCTACTTTTAGTTTTTTGCGGAATTGCTGCACTGATTTTCACAGTCTCCCACGCATGCCATAAAACTCACATAGTGAGCATATTATATAATTAGCAGTGTTGTCTATGCAATGCAATTTACTTTAATTCTACCCATTCTTACTAAAGCCTATAATTTAAGAATTTTAACCACATTAACAAAACTGATTAGTGAGTATCACTGTAGTACTTGTTTCCTCATTGTATTAAAAAATTATCATGCAGTTAAGCTCTAGAGTTATAAATTTTTAAAACAGCGACATAATCAAAGGGAAAACAGTGAAAACCACCTGATTTTCATCACTCATTGCAATTAGCGTTAATGGCTTGAAATATGGTCAAATACATTTTTCACATAGTATTTCCATTTTTAAATTTGAAAAGGGATTATTCAAAACAAGACCATAACCCATTTTTTAAAAATTTAGGTGAAATGACCATACTATATGTGCAAATACTTAAAATCTACAGTTCAGTAGTATTTCACACACTCAAAATGTGCATCTGAATTTCAGAATTTTTCCAGCACCTCAGAACATTGTGTAAATACTAAATAATCACTCCTCATTTCCCTTCACAACACTACACTGTGAATATTTTCACTTTGTGGATTTGCACATTCCTTACATTGCATGGTTAAATGATATTTTTGAAACCATCCTTCCAACCTTTGTCTTTCATCTGGCAAGTTTAAACTGTTTACATTTAAAGTGATTACTGATCATGAAGAACTTCTGATATTGTGCTGCTTGGTTTTTATGTCATGTATTTTTTTTGCTACTCAAGTCTCTCCATATTGCTATAGCATTTCTTGTAGGTTGGCACCTTTTAAGACATCTGGGGATATCTCTATTTGTTCTTTTTTTTTTCTGGTGGTACTAGGGATTGAACCCAGTGTCTTTGGACTGAGCTCTAGCCCCATCTCCTCTTTATTTTTTATTTTGAGACAGGAATTCATTAAACTGCAGGGCTAGAGCATATGTTCCTCCTGCTGCAGACTACCAGCGTCCTGTGATTACAGACATGTACCACAACCCCTGGTGTTCCCTTCATTTTTTTTTGCTTCTGGTACCAGGAATCGAACTAATGACCTTGCGCTTGCCAAGCAGGTGCTTTGCCCCCTGAGCTAAATCTCCAGCCCCTTACCCTTAATTTTTGAAGGACAACTTTTCTAGATATAGAATCCTTGATTGACAGCTTTTTCTTTCTACCTTGTAATGTAAGGACATTATCCCACTGCCTTTGGGCATTATGGTTTCTGATGTGAGGTCAACTATTAATCTTACTGAGAATCATTTTTCTGGAATAAATCCTTGTCTTTTGCTGTTTTTTTATTTTGAAAAATAAAAGAATGAAAACATTTTAACAAACAGATATCCATTTATGAAATAGCACAGAAACAATACAAGCAGTACTGAATTACAGACAATGTGACAGGAAATTAACAATGGTTGTTGTGTTATGTATTGATATCTTCAAAGTGATTACTCCAGAAAACAAATTTAGACATGTAAGATTGATCAAATAATCATTAGCTCTTCCTTTCAATAAAGCAATAAAAGTTAGTAGTACAACAATTTTAGCTATCCTGTATATACATACACACAATTTCCAATTCTTTCTTTTCTCTTTTTCCCTCATCCTAGTTGCTCTTTTGAGCAGTTTCCTGTCATTTCACAATGTCTATCATACCTCCTAATTTTTATTCACTCTTTCTGGTTCTTACACTAGTTAGACAATACATTGCTTACACAGGTCTGATTTGTTTCACTTATGAGCATGGTCTCTAGTTTTGACCAATTATGCATAAAAACCTCTAGTTTATCTTTCTTTATAGCTGAGTAATATTCCATTATATAGAAATGCTACTTTTTTTTTATCCACTCCTCAGTGGATGGATATTTGGGTTGCTTCCATGATTTATCTATTACAAATTGCACTGCTATAAACATGGGGGCACTTATATCTCTGTGATATGATGTTTTCAGATCATCTGGGAAAAATCTCAAAAGGGGAATAGCTGAGTTCAATGGGACTTCTAGACCTAGTTTTCTGAGGAATCTCCAAACTGATTTCCACAGAGGTTTCACCAGTCTGCATTCCCACTGCCAGTGGAGAAGTGTTCCTATTTCTCCACAGCCCAGCCAGCATTTGTCATTGGATGATTTCTTAATGATAGCCATTCTTATGGTGGTGAGATGAAATCTCAGTGTTGTTTTAATTTGCATTTCTCGAGTGATTAATGATGTTGAACATTTTCTCATGTATTTATTTGCCATTTGCATTTCTTTATCTGAGAAGTGTGTATTCATCTCAGATGCCCATTTTTGGATTTGGTTTTTGAATTTGGGTGGGTTGATGTTTTAAAATTCTTTATATGTTCTAGATGGAAGACCTTTATCTGAGGGATAGCCGACTAATATTTTTTCCCAGTTTGTAGGTTTTCTTTTTACTCTGCTGGTGATTTCTTTAGATGTGCAAAACTTTTCAGTAAGATGAGATCCCAGTTGTTTTGTTGTTTTTTTTTTTTGGTTTTTCTCCGGCACTGGGAACTGAACTCACGACCTTGCGCTTGCCAGGCAGGCGCTTTTGCCACTGAGCTAAATCCCCAGCCCCGAGATCCCAGTTGTTGACTCTTTGAAGTATTTCCTGGGCAGTTCGGTTTTTGTTCATGAACTCTCTGCCTACACCTATGTCTTCAAGATTTTTATGTCCTATCTCTTCCAGTAGATTTAGTGTTTCTGTTTTAATACTTAAGTCTTTGATTCATTTTGATTTGAGTTTGGTGCATGGTGAAAGACATGGGTCTAGCTTAAGTCTTTGGCATGTGGAAAGCCAGTGTTTCCAGCACCACTCATTAAAGAGGTTATCCTTCTTCCAGTGATCTTGTTTCCACCTTTTGTCAAAAATCAGTTGGCTTAGTGAGTTCGTGGTGGTGGCTGTACCTTCCAGTCTGTTCCATTGATCTGCAGGTCTATTTTTGTGCTGATGCCATGCTGATTTTATCACAGTGGCCTTGTAGTATAATTTCAAGTCAGGGATTGTGATGCCACCTGGCTTGTCTTTGTTGCCCAGGATTGCTTTTGCTATTCTGGGTCCCTGGTTCCAGATGAGTTTTAGGAATGTTTTTTCCAGATCTGTGAGGTATACTGATGGTATTTT